GTTTTTTCCACCTATCTGAACTGATTTTTTATTTTTATTTTTTAACCCTAGGTGTACGACAGATTCTGAATCGCTTCCAAGTACGGGGGTTGAGGGTGAAGATAAAACCTAAATACTCAAGCCCCAAATGCAGGACAAAACAGGATTACTCATACATGCATGAATTGATCAAAAGAACTCCTCGACCGCAAACAATGAGCGGAAACAATTATAAGCTCAAAAAAGAAGATTTTTTCATAATATGTCTGTCTCCTCAAGTCAATATTACAAAACTTTTAGTAATTTTTATTACACAAACAACTAAAGTGATGGCTTCCAAACACTCCCATTGTTCATGTAGTGGTCAGTCTGATTAATTCTGTGTCATGGGGTTCAGTGTAGCCTAGAGTGCTGTCTTTGCCTCTCCAGTTGGTGGTTGGGTGTTGTTCTGGGCTCGCTGAACTTAGCTTGAACTTGATTTGCATAAAACATGCAATTAGGCAAGGTGCTGCTATGCAAACTAATGTGTACTACATTTCAGACTGCGACTGTCTGACCAGCCGCTATCCATGAAGTTCACAGTGACCAAGAAGAAAAGAAAAGTCTGATGAGGCAGTGGTGGGCAACAAAAGTGTACCTTCACCACACTGCAGCTTAGCATCATCTCCTTTAAAATAAATAATAATACGAATTAGAGCCCGACCGATATGGATTTTGTTGTGGCCGATATGAAACCGATATAATGGGAGCTGGGGCTGCCGATAACCGATATAATCGCCGATATATTTAGTGATGTAAAAATTCACTGTAAATCTTGAATTGTTTAAATAACTTAGGTTTGGCTCTAGTGGATTCTAAATTGGGTTTATTTAGGCAACATTTATTGTTATTCTGACTCTTTACGTCATATTTACAGACAGTAGGTCGGCCTTTTTTGCATCACATTCTAGCTACTAGTGATGGGTATTCCACTTTTTTTTTTGGAGAACCGGCTCTTTTGGCTCGGCTCACTAAAGCAGCTGGCTCTTTCGGCTCCCAAGCGACTCTTGAGATTGTTTTGTTGCAAGCAGGACTAAACCAAAACTGAACCAGGACTGAAAAAGGACTAAACCAGGACTAAAACAGGTTTAAACCATGTGTAAAACAGGACTAAACCAGAACTGAACCAGGACTAAGTGTCGGGACTCGGTCTCTCCCTCACTCAAGCCCAAGATTAGTCCTGGTTTATTCATTTTATGCTGAACTGCAGCCAAATATGCACTTTTTTTTTTTTTTTTTAACCTATGCACACGCAGATTTCTGAAAGTTTCGTTTTCAGCCGCTGCTGCTGTCAAACTACGGGTCTACAAGCGGCTTGAAGAGAAAAAGTGAGAGAAAGAGAAAACACGTCTCCCAATAAGAAACATGCTCCTGTTGTTCGCTTCAAAGAGCCGGCTCTAAGAGCCGCTTCGATCGCGACCGACCCGTAACTCCTAGCTAGTAAAGAAACTAGTAGTGATGTGACGTTTCGTATCGAGGCTTCGAGGCGTGTGTCGAGTAGGGAGGGGGCGTTTCCGCGATGCGCGTATCGAGGCTTGCTTCATTTAGGGGAGGAGCTGAAAATGATGACGTCCGAAGCCTCGCTGCCCGGCTGTACCACGTGACTGCTTCAGGAAGTGGTTCGGATTTTGCTGCGATTTCCGTTTTCATAATTTTCAAATAATCATTTTCCATACTGCCAGTATATAGATACACAGTTCACTGCCATCACTACAATATACATGTTTTGCATACTTCTTTATTTTGCTGACAGTTCTATTCACAGGCTTTCTGCAAAATGTCACACAATTCAAATTCATGTCAACTGATATTTTTGTGTCCAGTAGATGTCCTGCTAGAGCAAATGAAGCTTCAAGAAGCTTTGCGCTAGAGTGAACCAATTGAATGAAAGGCTTCAATGCGTCATGAAGCTTCATTTGCCCATCACTAGAAACTAGTGCTATTAGCCTTTAGCCGTAAAAACGTGCGCCCGCGGTAATTAATTATATGCATAAATGTGGATCATTCACACGTCTATTCACAGCTCATTTACATATCAATGCAGGTCCAGTAACAAATATACGGCCAATATAGTCACTTTACAATAGACCAATAGAAAACTGCCTGTTTATGTGTGGGAGCTACAGCAGCTAAACGCTAATAACAAATAGCCAAAACTAGCTTCAAAATCGATGTATTTCCAACACTCACCGCTCACACAGGCTCCTCCTCACATCACAAGTCTGCACTAATAAAAGTCCTTTTAATCCAGACTCAAACCGATTGTCCCTTAAAAAGAATATAATCTCAGTGTTGCGCACGGCTGCGGGTGTAAACAAGAACACGTGAGTGAAGTGACTCTGGTGGTGTGTTCAGGGACAGTACGGACACACACACAGACAAATTACACCGCAGATAAATACTGATGCGGAGCCACGTATTAGGACATTTATCTGTCTGTAAATTGGATTAAATGAACATAATGTAGAGAGTCTAAGATTTATAACGAGGTATAACATGCCCACGTGAAATATCGGCACATATCAGCAAGCATATCGGCCGATAGCCGATATGTCACCAGGTGCCCATATCGGCCAATAATATCGGCCAGCCGATATATCGGCTGGGCTCTAATACTAATGGTTGAAAATATTTGGGTCCATTCAATCCAGTCATTCAAATGTACAAGTCAAAAGTGGTGAAAAATATTGATTCTTGTATCGTGAGCACTGACCTCAAAATAGCCACACAGCTTCATATAGAGCACAACACTGACCACCCACCCCATGATTCCAGACAAAATTTCTCATTCATTTTTCTCACTTAGACTTTCAGGAAATAAATAATAATAATCTTAAACCGTTGAAAGCTGACTCTGGGATATCAGCAATGTGCTAATTGATGACCACAAGACGTATATTTTTATTTAATATCTGTTTCTGAAACTTTATAAATTGCAACGTTATTAAAACATTTTGCAGAATTTTGCGTTTTGTGCTTTTTGGACTTACAAACAACCATGTTATAGATATCAGTTAGCATGTAGCTGCTTAGCCTCTGACGTCTTTGAACTCTTAATATTAGAATTTTTCCAAAGGTCTGTAGGAAAAAATAATGGAAAATTTACTTCTGGAACTAGAGAGAGTGATCTCTCTGGAGCTCCATTTGAAGAGGGCATTGATGATTCGAACAAAAATAATAATAATAATAAAATATATATATATTTTTTTGTTCTGTCATGATTCTGTTGTGGTTTAACTCTCATTTTCTGGATAAAGCCCTGTATTTGCATATCCCCCTCTAGTTCCCCTTTACTTCCTAAATAAAGAGGTAATCTCTGTTTAGTTCTTATTGACTGGTGTCTATGGTACATTAAACCAGGTAAAGCGGGCACATAAAGAGCCGGCAGGCGCTCAGACACTGGGCTCCTCCCTCATTGTGGATTATATGCCATATGGACAGCAACATGTTCAGCTCTGTTGCCCCAATAAATTGTTGTTGACACTGCCATCTTGAGACCTGCAGACCTACACTGGGGTAGCTTCACTGGGATTGTCACGTAAATAATGATTCAGCCATCAGGCAGAACATTATAATCAACTGCAGAACTACTCTATGTTTTATGAAATCCAAAAGAATACATTTTTTTTTATGTAATATGTGATTCTGGCCAAGGTTATAGGTCATAAGACAATACTTGCACACTGTTCTGCAAAGTTGGCAATTTTCCTGTTTTCCTGGAGCGAGACATAATCTCACAAGACAAGATTAAAGAGCTAAATAAATTCACTTATATACCAGTGCATTGTTTATACTGATGGCACTTTTATCATAACATATTTCTTCTACATTATTTTTGTATAATATCAGAGGTCATGTTTGCTTGATGATTCTTGCTGATGTAGTTGCTGCTTTACTGGTCCAGTGTTAGCCCACTGTGCCATTCTAAAGAGCGTGAATGGAATACCATATTATGAGACTCCTTTAGAGGAGCCACCCTGAGGCTTGTCTATGGCCAAAGGCCTTACTGGGCTACTGCCGCACAGATCAATACATGGTTTACAGCTGTGATGTATCGAGGAGGGCTGTGCACAGAATACAATCCAATGATTCTATTCAATTGAATACATTTCAAAAAGTACTCAGAGTATATGCAAGAGGAGGGAACCTTGAACAAAAGCCATGACAGTGTGCTGATGAGAACAGCGCTTATAGACAAGAGACTTTTACTTTGCTTCTCAGATGGCCTTGTAAAAAAATATACAGGCTAAACATTTGCTGGAAATAAAATAAAATCTAGAATTTTCGTTTTTATTTTATTTATTTTATTTAAAAAAAAAATGTGACTAGCAGTGGCATATCAAAAAAGATCTGGTCCAAACAGCTGAAATGAATAAACTGGGCAGCGTTATTGGTTTAAAGAAAGGAATTTACCGACTTGGCTCTTCGTGTTTGCTTTAGTTTGGACTGTCACCTTCACGAACTGATCTTTGTGGTGTGTTCAAAATAAACATATTTTTACGCGACTTGAAATCATACCAAATGAATCGGCTTAATGGTCCGAAGGAGGGGGCTGCATCCAGGGTGGGATTAAGAGAGTCTGAAATAAAAGCGCGAGTGATCAGAAATGACTGCGTGCGTCTGGAGGGCGGGAGGAGACGCACACACACGCACACACACGAGCAGAGAGAAGGAGAGAGAGAGAGAGAGAGAGAGAGAGAGAGAGAGAGAGAGAGCGAGGGGGGGGACAGAGGCGAGCGATCTATCCAAACCTCACCGTTTCACAGGAGCTCTCATTGCTACGCGGCTCAGCGCAGCATTTCACTGTTCCAACGGGGGGAAACGCCACTCTTTACCGCTTCTTTTAGCCCCTTTTCTTTATCACGCCGCTTGTCTGCGTGAAAGCCGCATTCAGAGACAACTTCGTCCGTTTTTCTGCCGACTTCCGACTTGAGCTGCATCATGAACAGTTTTGGGGCACCTCTGAAACGCGTACCGCTGGAATGGTGGGGATTACACAGCCGACACCCAAGGAACATGTAAACGCACATGGAGTTTGGGATTTATTTCGAAATATGGGAAAGATGACCGTCTTCTCGCTGTGCTTGCTCTTGTGCGCAGATCTGCTGGATATAGCCGTGGGTAAGTCATTGTGACCCTCTTCATACAACACGAGTCATACTGTTAGTGAATATTGTTTTTAATTTGAAAGCTTTTGATTCATGCGTAGATATACACGCTATTGGTCCGTGAAAACAAAAAGATCGGATGGAGGCGGGCTGTTCCGTGCCAACGTCTGATGCCAACTTTCTCCTCCAAGCCAAGCAAGTGGTTGAGGGAGAAAACGTGCACAATGGTCGGATTTTAGTCCGTGGTCTTGTGCGCGCTGCGTTATGGCAAAACGCACGACTGACTGACTATAAAAGAGGCCTCGTTATTGAAGTCTGTTCTTATCTCCAGCAATTTGCATGACAGCACCCTCTCCGGACTCAAGTGCACCCATGCCCAGCCGTGTCCACTTCACGGCTTGGCTTCTCGCTTGCAGTCGTAGCTTTTGTTTCAACAGATAGCAAGAGATAAGTTTCCAGTGTGTGTGTGTTTTTGCATTGAGTATATAAAGCACATTTGGCACCATCGCGGTATGCACATATTTCCATACGACCCCAAAGCACTATAGTGTGAATTTGCGGATGCGCTAGAGATGTCTGATGTCACTATCCAAACAGTGGCAGTGATGGACTCCCTGGATGCATGGCATATGTTCCCAGTGGCTTACGGAGAAATTTGGCTTCACACATGGCGCAATATGTAAGATGAACACAAAAAAGCTCCACTCACAAATGCAGGACAGGTAACGCTGTACTAGTAGTTTCTCCTGGGCACAATCAGCACCACGGACAGTTCACTTGTGGCCACAGTTTCACTTTGCCGTCTGTTTTAGCGGAGGATTCGGATGTTGTTGACCTTCTCTGACCCTTATAGGAAATCATTATGTCTTTGGGGTTTTGCATAATGTTTAGTGATAAAACGTCTGAGTTGGTTGGGCTGCTCCAAGGGACTATTGGTCTGAATTTGACGGTGCAAAATTGGTCACCACACATTCATTCTAATCGGCATTATAGAGATGTTTAAAGAGCGTCTGCTGCTCCTTCTGTTGGATTGTGTTGGACATGCACATTAGTTCATTTATGACTCAAAAGTTTTCCCTTGTGTTTTCATAAGTGTTATTACGGTCTGTCTGCATGGAAGCAAACCGGTCAGAATCAGAATGCAGTACAAACAATAACGGGTAACTGAAAATAACACCCCACATGGTCTGGTTTGGGGCTGTGTGCGTTTCCATGGATTTCTTTTAGTTTGGTCTCACGTTCGAACCCACTTGGTACAATTGTAAAAGCACCAAAGTGTTATTTTGACCCCAAATTGGAGCCACTTATAGTTTGGAACATTGTTGGGTAAATTTTCCACTTTAACACCATTGAACTTGAAGAACAACAGTGTAAATGGGCCTACAGCTACATCCATTAAGTTGTTTCATGTGCAGCAGTTGACCAAGTGTGAGATTTTACATTGATCGCAGGGCCAACAAACTGAGAACAGTAGAATTTAAGCAATCAATAGTCTTTGAGCTCCACTCACCAGCATACCCGCCATTCTCAAGGCCCATGACTGGATTTGATTTATGTTACAAAACTCACGCAGAGATGAACAAAGTAGTCGGTCTTATTCAAGAAAACTATTATCCAAAGTGTATATTTTTATGTTACATTACCACTACAACCAGTGTTGGGAAGGTTACTTTTAAAATGTATTCCCCTACAGATTACAGATTACATACTCCAAAATGTAGTTTGTAATGTAATCCATTAAATTACTTAAAGTGAGTAACGTAATCTGAATACTTTGGATTACTTGATTTGATGTAGAGAAGCAAAGACAAGGATACTTAACCGTATTAAAAATATTATTGATAGAATAGGAGGAGACACATGATTTAGTCCTGTTAAATCCTGTTAAATCCTGTTTTAGTCCTAGTTTAGACCTGGTTTTAGTCCCGGTTTAGTCCTGGTTTAAACCTGTTTTAGATCTAGTTTAGACCTGGTTTTAGTCCTGGTTTAGATCTAGTTTAGACCTGGTTTAGATCTAGTTTAGACCTGGTTTTAGTCCTGGTTTAGTCCTGGTTTAAACCTGGTTTAGATCTAGTTTAGACCTGGTTTTAGTCCTGGTTTAGTCCTCATTTAAACCTGGTTTAGATCTAGTTTAGACCTGGTTTTAGTCCTGGTTTAAATCTGGCTTAGTTTCCAGCAATGAGTGGAATTATTGAAAAAAATGTAAAAATAATAAAAATAATGTGAAAACAGGAAAATACCGCCATGTAATCCATTTATTTCAACAAAGTAACTGTAATCCAATTACCACTCACTGAAACAGTAACTGTAACCAAATACAGTTACTCATAATTTGTACTCTGATTACGTAACTCCGGTACATGTAATCTGTTACTCCCCAACACTGACTACAACAGTTAAAACTTTCTACTGTTGCTATTACGTCTTCATTCCAGTAATCCTCTTGATTAATCTAAGAGCTCTGTGACTTTTAAGATTGTGAGATGAAGTTAATTAATAAATAGTTTGGATAATTTGGAAAAGAAATGCTAAATGTCATAAAACACACCCACACACAGACACCCACACACACACAAACACTGATCTCAACAGTGTCCTGATGTTCAAAAGTAATGCATTCTAGTTTGTACTTTCTATGTCCTGTCTTACACCTCCCTCTCTCTATAGCTCCTCTATAGCATCATAGCTTTTCTTTTTTTTTTTTTTTTTTTCACAGTTAGATCAAGGTCGCTCTCTGCCCACCTCTGTCTCGTGTTCCCAAAAGGAGCAGCCTTTGGTCAGCGATTCCATCTCATCTTTATCGGCCGTAATGAAATGTCATACATTTTTATTTCCCATAACATTTCAGGCTGTGAGTGGAAAAAATGTATTTACCATGTTTCTTCTGCACAACTTGGACCGGCTTCATGTCCATCTTGGAGTAACTGTCTGTAAAAGTACTATTTATTAAAGGGCTGTCCACCTTGTGATGTCATGTGGTAATACAGGAAGTGCTCTAATGTGTTCTTAAGCTTCATACACCTTCACTAGAATCATCTGGATGATTTCAATCCTGGAACGACCACTCTCTACTGAACTAAGGCAGCTGTTAACTTGAAAACTAACACTACATGACATCACAAACTGGAACAGAGCATTTTGAGCTTTGGCGATGTAGATGGACTAACAATAAAGGATTACTCAAAGATGTGTAAATGAAACAAAACACAGCTCTGGGTATATTTTTGATGAGGTAAACACATTATAACATGGCTTGAAGCTCACTGGAAGTATTGTAGTCTAAACTTGTTTGACATACATTCTTGCAGGTATTACAGTAACTAGCAGTAGGGAAAATATGTTATAAGTAAGTGGGTAATATTGACAAAAATGAAATAACTAGGACTGCAGTTGGCAACATAAATCCTTGGTTGAGTAAAGATTTGCTTTTGTATCTGTTAATTGCCTAAAATATAAAGTACTATATATTTGAAAAATAGTAAACAGGATCTTTAGAACTGTCCGGTTAGTCCCAAAATCTGTCAGCTGATTCTAAGCATTCTTCTGTTCTACTATTGTCCATAGAAAACATTGCAATCTTAATAAAAATGATTCAAATCAATTAATAAAAGACAGCAAGGACACATTAATCTACTAAAGACATACAGCCTTTCAAATAATAACAGTAATAAAGTTTTTAATGTCATATTTGTATTCATAGCTCTTATCAGGTAACTTCCACACCAGTGTTGCTTTTTGTGGTCAAGTCAGCATTCTCATAAATTAAACCCTACACAATACATTCTGATGATTTAATGACAAAAAAATACTTAAAGGACTAATGCAGGGCTCAAGGTTCTTTAGATTCGCACCACCCAAGATAAGTCATCAAAGCCACACTTGAAATGGCGCAGAGTGAAATAGGAGCTTTTTGAGAAAATGAGTTTGATATGTCCAGTCCTCTCCTCTTAAACCACTCTTAACTAAGAAGGACTCAAAGTATGTCTTATGTATCTTTATTGTACAGCCTATAAAAGAGTAAGTGACATGTACCATATGTGCCCACAACCACTTCAAGTATAAAGCTGTATTGTCATCGCACTCTTTTCAGGTCTGCAAACAAACAAATAAACAATAAACAAATTGCACGTCTGTAAGCAAATACAATCGTAAGAGCAATGATTGTCAAAAATATAGAAAATCAGATACCCTGTCCTAGATCTTTCCCGGGGCCTCCTCCTGGTGGGACGTGCCCGGAACACCTCCAGGCGTCCAGGAGGCATCCGGAACAGATGCCCGAGCCACCTCAGCTGGCTCCTCTCGACGTGGAGGAGCAGCGGCTCTACTCCGAGCTCCTCCCGTGTGACTGAGCTCCTCACCCTATCTCTAAGGGAGCGCCCAGCCACCCTGCGGAGGAAACTCATTTCGAGCGCTTGTATCCGCGATCTTGTCCTTTCGGTCATTACAATTCTTAATGATCAATTATTGATTAATCGACTAATCATGCCCATCCCTATTCCAGAACTTGAATTTCATTGTCACACACTGGAGGAACCGTCATTTTTTATACACTGAAATGTGACGAAAGGGAATTTCACTGCTGTTTGTTTGTAGAATCAATAATGGTGACTTGAAATGGTAATATAATAACAAGAAGCATACTAGTATAATGTGTTGGACTGAAATGGAGTCCTCCTAAGATTATGAGAGCTCTTAGTATAGTATACCCACTTGTTAAAAGATCTGTGCTAAGACTGCGCAATATATTCCCATCAAATTCATAAAATCGAAAAGGCTGTACTTCTTTCGGTAATAGAATGTTCTCTGCAAAGAACAAAATATCCTGAATTTTTATTGAAAGAAACTGGTTGTACCTGTAGCTTAGACCTCTACAAACATGTCCTGAAATTGATGGGAGTCGTGTTTTGGCTTATGAGTTCTTATTTGAGTCTTTCTCCAATCATTACTGCTTTTATTTTATTATGTTTTATTGCATTTTGCCCTTTTACTTATTTTTGTATTAATAGCCCTCAC